CCAACAGAAGCAGATAAAAGTACTCAGAACCCCGTGTAAGCTCCCAAGAAAAACTTAACCAGTTGGACGATGTTAGTAAAAGACTTGGCGAAAGACATTTTCGAGCTGCCTTGCAGCTCCACGGTTCTAGGAGCAGTTTCTGTCAAAATGGACTCTAAGAAATTCCATTTTTCCAGGGCAACTGGTGATATAATGGGGACCGCGCTATAAGAAAACCTGAAAACGTCAGGTACCCTGACGCGCCGGCGTGCGTCATTGAACGCTCTTCTACCAGAGTATGTGACAAAAGAATCGCAATTTGCCGCGCCAAGGGTGGCCTGGGACGTCGCACCCGCTTATGACGACGATTTTAGGTGGTATTGATCGAGAATAGACAATGTATGACTGTCCTTCTAATGAATTCCGGTGCTGCAGTTGCAATGGTAGTGCGAATTAAGAAAACGTCGCGCCCTTTGCCGCGTGCGACGAAGCGACATTTCATGATTCTCTTGTCTCCCGTCTGCCCTTCTACCACCCTTTCACCGATGAAGCTGGAGTTGCTGTATTTCCTCCCAGTCAAAACAGCCGCTAACTTCGAACACGCTATGACCCTCCGTACTTTATTTGGCCATCTCTCACATTTCATCTCAATTATTCAATTTGGCTGAGGTAATAATCGAAGTTTCGTCTCTGCCTTTACTATGAGGGTGACTATTCACGTTGAACAAGCATAAAAAATTAGTCAAATTACAAAACTGGAGCTTACCTATGAAAGGTGAGATGTAGAGAGTGATTAGGAAGAGTGGAGCGACAACGTAGAGCTGAGTATCTACGGCGAGATACCACGAGATTCCATAGCATTCCTGCAAAGTCACGGTAATCTTCTTTTCGCCCAGGGTACAGCATTGTTATGTAAAACCTGCCAGGGTGATCTTAAAAGGCCAGAAAATGTTATTGTTGATTTTTTCTTGCCAATAAACCTTGGAAAGTGCTGTTTCTGATGGTTTATTGGAGACTCCCGGAACACCTCTCCCTCCACCTCTGCTCGACGGCAGGCTTTCGCGAAACGTTGAGCATTCATTAAGTTGGTGTTGGGTCACGACTAGACAAGTTCTAGATATTTAGGAAAGGGGTCGCATCAGGGAATCGCAGGGGGGGGGTCATACTGACACCGCTATCTCACCCATCTCGATCCTGTGCCCTGTTCAGGTGTTGATAGAAACCACATGAGATCTTCAAGTACGGTCGTAAAGGTGCGGTCGTATGAACAGGGTCGGTCCTGCCGCCGCGCCCTACTCTCTGGTCTGCCCCTACTCTTCACGGACTCGAAAAAAGAGATCTGGACCGACATAGGGCGCAAAAGAATAGGTCTGACTCCGCTCACGAGATCACCGTAGATGTGTCTCTGAGCCAGTTCCAAAGAAAAACAACACTCACATTTTCCATCCCGAAGAGGTTGTTAATGTACAGCATGTTTCGCCACCAGTACTTTTCACAAGCTTGTGTACCAGTGCCCATATTAGTTCCTATGTTGGACGCCATCCATGGTCCATTCGTAAATGGAAGAATCACAGTAAACAATCCAATGAAAATCATCATGGGAGGTGTAAGCCTAAAAAGGGGCAGGGCTCAGATTTAACACGCACTGTAGAGCTCAGGTCACAAACAAACCTCAGATAACGGTGGACATAAAACATAACCCAGGTGAACGGGTTCCGCACGAATCTTGGCGACGGTCTGTTTTTGAAGAACAAGTAGGCGACGAGGATTCCAGAGAGCAGAAAGAAAGTGTCGACGGATAGAAATGCATTTGTGAAGGCAGTGGAAAGCAGCGGATTCCACAGAGAAAACACCGGCAGTAGATTGTCTGAATGAGAGCATTTTCCATGAAATCTTGCGAGTATGTCGGACATCAAATCCACGTTGCAAATCACGCGAAACTACGAATAAATTAGGTCCTGGAACGAATGTCGCGCGCGCGTCGCTGCTTCCAGAGTTCCGTGATCTTCGCGCAACATGGACACAATGTTTCACAGTCACTTTTTTGAAGATGCTAGTAAACCTACCGCTCATAGCATTTTGTCCAAGAGCATGACCTGCAGCCACCCATGTCATGGAGATGAAACGGATTGAAGCCAATGAACGTAGAGTTCCTTCTTTTGGCGCTCTCGTATCCAGAAGCAAAGGTGCGTTGGTGTAGAAGGAAAAGGTGAGGAAAAAGCGAATCACTAAAAAAATACTACCCTGAACAGGAGGTACAGCTGACCTCAGTAGATTCTAGAGGAAAATTGCACGAAAAAGGAGCAAAAAAAGGAAAAACATCGCTTCGAAAGCAAAGTAGTGGCCTGACTGAAAGCGCTGCCAGGCAGCTCTGCCAGGCGCCTCATTGAAAGCTTGATTGACCTATTTTTACTACGATATTTATCCTTTCCGGGATGTGTACTTATTAAGGCTTTCGTTACTATCCTCACGGTGCAGCGCTTGTGTGATACCACGGTCCCGCAGCGAAGCACGATTCAGCGGTAGAGAACAATAAGAAGTATAAAGCTTAAAGATAAAAAGGGCGCTGGGCTATGGACAAACGGGTGGCCGGCCGAGGCGAAGCATGGGGGAAGTACTCGGCTTTACTACACTCCAGCCTCGTTTCCCGTGCACTTTTGAGCAGAAAAGCTGGCACAATACTGCAGCAACGGACCCAGTTACATCTCACATGGCAGGACCAGATCCACGGAGGCGAGTGTACAGTTTGTCTTCAACTGGCGAGTAGCAGAGGCTACACTCCGTCATTTGCGGTTCGGTCACGATCAACTGCAGTAATACCAGACTCTAGTCACAGTTAGCACTAACTGACAGCTATATGTCAACAATACATCACATATCGTGACTTTTCGCAGCAAGGGGGTTTTTCTAACCTCCGATAATTCAGCCGCTTTTAGACCCACAAGTACGTGTGATAACTCTTGTTCTGAACACCCTAGTTGAAAGACAAGCAACATTGCACAGGGCTGCAGTTCTCATTGTTGGCTAATAACAAAATAATAATACTAATATGATAAAGAGTAGCAAGAAGGCGCGATAACACCCCACTCCATCCACACTATCAGCGTGAAAGATGCCGCTAAGCTCGCGTTCACATTTCGCGACAAGTAGTTGATCGCTCTGCTCAAAGGCACTTGGCACGATAAATCCCCCAAGACGACTAGGATCAATACTCCTGGCAGGATAGAATTCCGCGACCCTGGGCAGGCGCTATAGCGGTTTCCCCGAGGAAGGTGCCCTTATAAGGGCCCTATCAAGCCACAACTTTACGTCCCAAACGCCCGCCACGCCCGCCCGCCCACAAATGGACGACCGTTCCTGACGCTCGTATTCATTCATTTGCTAAGCAAATTATGAAGCGAAGGGATTGGTATGAAGCGGCCGTGATGCTGCATGCATACATGGGTACACATATGCAGCCGTACCTTCGGTAGCGGTGATTGGCAAGATGCCTACGGGAAACTCGTCCAAAATCGATTTCAAGTCACTGAGAACGGAGGCTTTTTCTTCGCAGGATTTTGACCGTTTCACTCCGTTCTTTCGCCATTTCCCCACTATACAGCGCCCTACTAGCATTTTAGGCTAAGTAGGAAACCATCGTGCCAACTGCCTTTAAAGTGCGATTGCAAGCGACTCTGCTTCACCGCGGACCGCTGCAACGGTCAAAAGAAGTTTCAGCCCGAATGTTAGTCTTAGGTTAGGCTTCGTTTTTCATATAATTATCCCACCTGTAATGTTCCGTATATCCGTAGATTGATAATGCGTGTCCAAGAAGTAGTCAGCGATGCTCGCGAGAATAGCCCAGACAACAAAGAATGCCATGAAGCTCCTACAACGAATTGTGTATACCTGAGGCATTTATTGGGGAATATGTGTCCTGCAGAGGGATTGTTTCAAGCGCAAGTGGCACGATAAATCGACAAGGCGTACAGGGTCGATGCGTCCGGCACGGAAGGATATTGTGCCTTTAGCAGGCGCTGTGTGGCACTTTTCCATCAAAACGTACCAATGTAGCGCCTCACCAAGCCATCAAGCCAAGGTACAGTAAAGCCCACCCAGCCCCCCCCCCCCCGCAACCGCCCGCCCACAAATGGGCGCACAGTCATACCGACACTGGTACTCATATCGGTTCATTTATGAAGTGCAAATGATATAAAGCATTGCTGGATGTATGAATCTATAGGTGCAGCCGTGTCTACCAGAGCGGTTCTTGGCACGACACCAACGGGAAACTCGTCCACAAACGCTCAGCCCAAGTGTAGAACAATGGTTTTTTTGGCAGGTATCTACCATTTTATTCGCTTTGTCATTTTCCCCATTATATGCACCCCTGCTAATATTCTCGAGTACAAGTTGTCGTGTCTTATGCTTTTGAACAGCCGTTGTGTGGACCGAGAGTCCGCCTGATTCACATGACTCACATAAAAATCCAAAAAGCAGTAGTCGGTTTGACGTTCGATGGAACACATGTAGCTGAAGGGAATTCCACTGGCACATACTGTTCATTTATGACAGTTCCCAGCAGAAGAGGAATGTCCTGAAAACCAAATCTGATAAAGACCAGGTGATAAGCAAGGGCAAATAAGCAGAGAAAGGACTGGTTGAGCACAACGAAACACACCGAAATGACCACGACAAATCCTTCATTAGGTAAAGTTAAGACTTGAATGTCTCACCTTTTCAGTGCAACTCCTTGGCATACAGACGGCTACTTTCATTCTCAACGCACTGAGAAAGGGGTTTCCATCACCAAAGGGGTTTTTTGTCTGCAATGTTGGAAAATTAAGTTGCTCATTGTAAGTAATCTGCTCATATTCAAGCGAAAGCGGCCTCGATACGGCACCCTTATAGCAAAAAAATCTCAAGTAATGTCCTAACTGACCTTTATTGCTAAATTATTTTTTGTGTGGAATTCACGCGCACACCGGGACACGCGGAAGCTGAGACTTCAGGAGGGCTGGATGTGGCGCGGCGCCATTCTGTTCTTCGCCAATCAATGGAGCTGGCAGGCGAACACATTTGGTGGGCAATTGGCTGGCGCCGCCCGCACCACAGTCATCCCCCTAAAAAGCCTCAGCTTTTTAAGCGAACATGACTGTACGGGAAGTGTCCGCTCGACCTCTCCAACACTGTTCAGGTGTGACAATTTGGATCTACAAGTCCAGGCGCAGCCACCATGCTGCTCTCTAGCTGCACTTTTGGGGATCGAGGTCTGGTTACCCTTTGGGTTGACACTAGTCGTTGGGGAAGCGACGCAGGACTCCCCACCCACTCCTTCCCAACGTGATTCTACAGTACCTACCAAAGCTCTCTTTCCTTATGTAGAGACGGGGAGATAAATTAGCAAAAGCACAGCATCATGGACAGATCCCCTACTCTACAGGCGGCTCAGTAACGCGGTGGCTCGCTTATCACTTGCACGATCACGAGATCAAACCCTTATCCTGAAACTGGGAAGCCACCAAGGGATCTATCAACGTCGAAGATTCCCTCGTTTCCCATTCTCTTTTATCGTCAGTTTAGCATACTCCAGAGAACGGAGGCGGACTTTCGTTTTTCAAAAAAAACCCCTTTACCTAAGTTGCCTCCGTTTTGCAGCGGGGAAGTCTGCGGTACTTTGCATTATTTCTCATCCGCGGTTTTCTTACATTTCGCAGCGCAGTTCGGCTCGGTGGGGACAATAAATGGTAGCCAGCGAATCCCGTACGGTAATAACCTGTAAACTCTTGTGTCCAAAGCAGCTCAGTTGTACCACTCCTCAGCCTCACGAGAGTTTACAGGTCTTACCAAAATGAGATCTATCAGAAACATGAACTATAAAAAATGAATTAGTGAAAAAGCAATATGCCCCCTTATAAGCCGAATAACGCCACGGGGGAACGAACCTCTAATAAACGCTGTGCTAAACTCTTACCATATTTCCCAGACCGACGCTAGCATAGCAGTAATGCGTTTGATACGGTGCAATCAAATCTCTGCATTCAACATACGAGCCAGAGCTGATGTATGTCATTTCCATGAGGCCGGCTGGCAGTTTTCCAAAAGAATCTAGCTCTGAAACGTTTCTTTCATTTGTTCTCTCCCCTCGCCATCAGTGAAACAAATAAGTCATATGTGACAGCGAAAGTATTCTCGAGGCGCGTTATCAGTCCTTAACAGTGACCAGAAGAATGAACAACGGGCGCTGTAAAAGAGCAAATAACGCTGTCGCTCAAGAAACTTTCCCCGTTAACGGGAGTTTTAGAGAAAAATGAAGGGCTTGGTTTGGCTGCGAGAGGGGGGGGGGCTTTGCTTTTCCGCTGCTTCACTAGTTCCGTTCCAAAAATCTCACTGTGGTGAAACCTGTGAACTGTTGTGAATCTGAAGCAAGCTCGTCTAGCCACCATGGTAGAACCTGTCAACTCTTGTAAGCTCATGATATGGCCTCTAGATGGTCGAAACCCCTAAGGGAAGCAGCAAAAGTGCAAAAATGCCCCGCCCGTGCCAAACAGCCTCGAAGGAAGCTTTAGGGGCGGCTTCCACACAGCTAGACGCATAGGACTAGCGAAATAGTCCGGGTGACTACGAACCCAGGCGTTACAAGGTGCATATAACACAAAAATTAATACGAATTAATACGACCCCCCTTTTTCCACAAGAAAAAATCAACTATCAAAATAAATTTGTCTTACCCCAAATACGACCCCCTCCCCAGCGAAAAAAGTACGACGACCCCCTATGTGTCACACAAACGATGCTGTAACCCTGGTTCCCACAGTGATCGGCAAGACCTTTGTTAGTTTCTGAGCGCAAGTACTAACTTCTAGTAACTTGCATGTTCCACCCCGGAAACTCGGAGGAAGCCCCCGTTGCTGGTTCCTCCAAAGAGTTCACCTCAGAAGCACTCAGGACATGCAGAGTGTTTATTTTAGAGAATTTAAAGTATCAACGCATCAATCCAAATACCTACAACCATGTCATTCAGCTTATTAAAGGACATGAGCACCATGGAAAGCTGTCATTGTAACAGTGCCTAACGATTGTTTCTCATTTGAAAGCAAATAGGACTCACCTTGTCATGTACAATGGAAGAGGTCAGATAATTTGAGTGCGAGTCGCTTGGTGGCGGCACGATGCATACTCACCTAAAGCTCGTGCAGGTCACCTTGTCCAAACTGGCTCTCTCGCTACGATTTCGCAAGGTTCACTTGCGAGCTCACCGAATCGAATTAACGGTATGGTATGTGGCAAACCAACAAGACGAACGCGACAGTGCGAAACGCCCCTCCAAGCCAAATAGGCCCGAGATGATAGGTTCGTGGAACATTTCGATGAAAGTAATCCAGAAGTTAGGTGATTGATCTAGTAAGCCGTACAAGGCGGTGAAAGGGTCAGAGTGTTTCACCCAAACAGCCAGCTCCGGGAAGTCATCGCGTTACAGTTTCTCGAACCACGTACAAGTTGACAGCAGTTTCTGTTAGCAGAAAGCTTTGTGCGCAGTGATGATCAAGTTCCTCCTTTATTTAGAGCAAGTACCTTGAGCCTTCATTGTAGCGTGAACTCTGGCGGCAGCCAGGCTCAACATGTCTTCTGTTGTTTGCGCCTCGCCTTTTATTGAAGGCGGTGGAGAGGAGATCGCTGAATAAAGACAACAGTCGCTGTCTTCTCCGCCACAGCCAAGCGTGAGCTGTACCATTCAGTAATAGAATATGTAGTGTAAATAAGATCATATCGGTGACTAGCGGACTCGAAACCTGCTAAATCAAAACAAACGTCACGCCCTATCCGTGCGGGGGGGGTTATTATATCTGCGTAGTTAGCTTCATTTCCTCGCCTTGACAAGACCTGTAACACTTGCTAAAACCTAAGATAGTACGGCGTATATTGACTGGCAAGCCCACACGCATTCGAGTCTTCACCAAAGTGAGCAGATCAAGCCTTGTTAAATGCAATGCCTGCCTAGCTTTACCAGGCGTTTCACAAGTCTGCACGTCTATAGGAACGAGCGAGATGACCCCCCCCCCCCTCCCCCAACGAATAGCACCAGCAGGGCTCACAGAACGCTCTCAACTGAGCAGAATGTGAAGAAATTCGAGACCTGATTCAAGCAGGAGTGAGAGAAAATCTGCATATTGGATCCAGATCTAGAGAGCCATTTTGAGAGCTTACAAAGTTGACAGGTACTACCACGTTGACTAGACGAGCTGCTCCAGCTTCACAAGAACTCACATGTTTCACCAGAATAAGACGTGTAAGCCGGAACTAGACAAGCAGCGGAAGTGCACGATTCCCCCCTCCCGGCACTTAACTGAACTAATTTTTATTATACTTGTGGCGGACTCACCGTTATCACTCAAAACATTATTCTTTCAAGTAATCTTCTTCTGTTCAATCTCTGCCACCTCTCCTTGAGAATGCATTCTTCACGGTTCCTACACTTTGGCTATGCTCACACCAAATACGGCCATATCTGCTACACATTGCGGTGACACTCCAAATAACGAAAGAGCACTGTAGTCGTTGAATTCGGTGAAATGCTGCAATTCTGTAGATTCAATGGGCCAGTGAAATAGATACCAAATAGAATAAATTGAGCTGCACGGAGAGCAAAAATGTGTGACACACTATGGGTGTCACCGGCCTGGTAATTTGCTCTAAGAATGTGAGCTAAGAAGTATCTACCGCAATTGAACTGCCACCCAGAATGTACTACTATGAGAAAAGTGAGCAATATAGCGCTGCGGTCATCACGAAAATGTGCAGTCTCAGGGACAATCCTGGCTGGAAGAAAAGAATTCTAAAAAACATTCTAGACGTCAAGTAAGGAGAGGTTGTACGTAGCACTTGTAACATGGGAAAAACCACAAAAAGAACTTGAAATCCAACAACCAGAAGAAAATACCAGATCCCACCCTCATCCCTCTCCAGCAACCAAATACGATCCCGTGGAGAATTTCCAAAGTACGACGTGCCCTAATGGGGCCGGTATACAAATCAGCTCTCTTACGACCAAATGAACTTCAACTTCGGCAAGGAGTCGATTTGTGGGAAATGAGTGGGGTGATCCTGCAAAGTGCAAGCGCCTAGTGTCTACTGCGATACATCCCTACATGGACATGAGAAACCTAGAAGCCCGCATCATAAGGTTGATAAGTTGGCCCAGGTAGCACTGAGACTCGTGTCCACACAGCGAGAAATTGGAAAAAATCACTCCCAGAACCCCCTAGATATATATTACTTAATAGACTTCTCTGAAGCTGTAACTTTGCCAAAGGAATTGGATTCTATTGGATGGTTTGTTCTAATAAATGTAAGATCTAGAGCACAGGCAAAAAAAAGCAATGGGGCGCTGTTCGGCTTGGGAGGGGCATATTGCACCTTCGCTAGTTCCTTGTGCTATTTCCTGCTAAATTAGGCACCACACCATGATGGGACCTGCAGACTCTTGTCCAGTGTGAAGGAAGCCCATGCCACTACACACATCAATAGAAATTCACAGGTTTCCGTAAGAGCGATTGACGGTGATAAACGTACCCCGGACGGTCCCTGTTCCTTTAGGACCCCTCTTGGGTTGTAGCTCCTAGCGCTACCCATCTTGGCGAGTGTTAGGCTTGCACTTATTCTCTCGCTTTGCTAGTGATGCAGTATTCGGCGTGGTCGGCTTGGAGGGGGAGCATTTTGCCTTTTTACTACTTCCTTTTGCCATTTCCTGTTAAACTGCATGTCACATCTTGGTGGGACCGGTAGACATTTGTCAAATGTCAAGTGTGAAACACCTGCAATTGCAAAATCTCCCCCGGAGCTACGGTCCCCAAAGGAGGCATCGGCAGGAGTCGACGGGATCTAGCAAAATGCCCTCCAAAAGCCGAACTACCCGCTCCAAAGGGCAGACATTGGTGAGAACTAGGGCTCAGTACGGCTCATTAGTATTCGGTTGCACTACTTCTTGACATATTAGTGGCTCTTCGTCTGAACTAACTTACCTTTGTGAACTCAGAAGCATATACTATTTGTAAGGCGGCTATCAAGAATAGGAATACGGTAGGCGACATTGGTGTGAGTATAGTGAGTGATGTAACGAATATTTATAGGCGTAGAGATAAAGGGTCGTCGGAAGTCGTCCCGTGCCGTCTGTGACTGATTGCGCTTATCATTTTCGAGTTTGTGTTCGCCACAATTCAGCCAGCTTCACTGATCGGAATAATCCCACGCAGCCCATTATCTAATGCATCAACTATCTCCTGTGCTGTGCGGCCATAAACTTCATACTTAAAAGGTGTAGAGATAACCAGTAATTTCCAAAGATTTGTAGGCGCTGTTTCGGCATTAGGGAGGACCATTTCGCAACTCTTCACATGCTAACCCTGATCCGTGATCCTGTATGCTCCTTATCAAGAGAGAACGATGCTCTGGTACTGTGTTAGTTTTACAGAATAAACAGGGGCTCACAGGGAGGCATGAGCCAGTGATTCGACTCATCGATTCATCGATCGACACATAGTTACGCTCATACACATTGAGGGTGTATGAGACTATCAGCCCCCAGATGTCGATGTGTCGTGGTCCCCCCGCCCAAACATGCCCGGGAATGGAGATACAGGGCCGTGAAACACGCTAATTCTTCCATGCTCCGCCCACTGCCTTTTTACGGCGCAGATTCTTGTTTTCCACGCGTTCGATAAACATCCGTTGCAAGCTGCGCTGTCCTCCGGTGGCGGCTCCTTGGGCACTTTGCAAGCTCCTTCTAATTGCGCCTCTCAAATGACAACGGAAAACGCAATTTCCTGATGCCGGATAACATTGAGTGTAATCAAAATAAGCAGAGATTGATGACAAGGGGCCAGAACTCAAGAGCAACTCGCTGCCATTGCAGTACCATCAATGAGGGGCCACGCCGATTCCACGAAACATGAAAATAAAAACTAAAAACGGCATACTCGTTAGTTTAATACAAGCAAGACGCAATTTCCTGATGCGAATAAAATTTAAGGTGTTGCTCATGCTTCAAAATCCATGTACAAGGAGATGAAGATGACACAG